GTCTTGAATTGTTATGAAACTACTTAACTTATGTTAATTTTAATATATTTTTCTCCCAATATAGGATGAATTCGAGAATACCTTGATACAAGAGTAAGGAGCATAATTGTCATTATAATTGGAGTAAAATTGAAAGAAAGAAGAACGCTTAAGCGAATGAATGATGCGAGACCCAACCCAAATTCTCTTATAAAAAGATAAGTGTGTTTTGAGAAAAGAAAACAGTCTTGGAGAGGAGGAGGCATGACTACTGTTAGGGTTTTGTCCAATCTTCATCAATTCTTCATCAATTGGAGCATTGTAATGGCCAACATGAGTGACTAACTTCATTCTCTTCGGATTTGATGCACTTCCTTTGAACTCTTTTGTTTCATGGTGATATTTTGAGATATTAATTTATGCTTTGATGTTGTTATTCTTATCCTTTATGCTTTGGAATAATTTATTCTTGATGTTTGGGGTATGATTCGAAAATATATCTTGAACCCTAGATCATGGTAAGAATATTTGTTACGTTAATTGTCAGGAATTGAATGAATGTATCAATTGCTTAACACCCTAACCCTAATGCTGGAAAATCTTTTAATTGTGTGAGGAATCAACATTTATTAGATTTTCTTATGAATTTCATGTGTGAGGAATCAACATGGATGATTTGAGTAGGTGGCATCAACATTGTTAGGTTAATTTACGTTCTTAATTGACATAGTCATTACAAAAGAGGGATAAGGAAGAAAGTCAATCCTAAGTGTCTTTAATTAATATTTTCTCAACAATTTACAGTTCTTTGTCATTTAATTTCAATTCAACTATTATTTGCAAAACACAATCTGTTTAATATACTTAGTAAGCATAATTGGGAATTTTCATTGAAACTGTTCATCGTGGGATCGACTTTTATTTAATCGAAATACTATATTACGATTGATAATTTTGGTACGCTGGCCAATAATTCAACACCAGTCAAATTTAAGTCCAATTTATTTAGGCCAAACCTAAATGAATTTAGGTCAAGCTAGTCCGTAATCTTATGACTCGACTCATTTTATAAAATAATTATTATTTTACTAATAAAAAAATTATTATTATTTTATTAAAAAATATATGTATAATAAATTAATATGATAATATATTTTGTTATATATATATATATATATAATGTGTGTAATTTAAAAAGAATAATAAACTCTAAACATAATCTTCATTTATTTTGGTTATCTTCTCCTCTCTGTTATTGTCGTCACATTTGCTTTAAAGGACCAATAATTTAAGACGACATATTCTTAAATATAGTCTATTTCGAAAGTATCATGATGTGGGAGTTATATTGATAATAAGGTTAGTTTGTTGAACTAATGAAAATTTAACTTTAAAATTTAATAAGATGCACTTGTTATATGCATTATCAAGCATGATCTTTAATTTAGTTAAGTTGAGTATAAAGGAGTTTAGGAGGTAAATAAAGTTTTGAATCCTAATTTTAAACCAGAAAATACTTCAATTACGAGAGGTTTACAACGTGTATTTAACAAAAAAGAAAAAAAAGTAAAAGATGTGTTATCTAATATTTCGATAGGATATTTTAAATCAATTACTAGAAACACTTTAATTTAATTAGAGAGATGTATAACATGTATTTTACGAGAAAAGAAAAAGCTAAAATATTTATTATCTAATATGAACAACAATAACTCTTCAAGATTACATGACTATAACAACTCATTCTCATGATACATTTCATTTTATTTTACCGTAATAGGTTATAAATTAATTTTAAATAAACAAATGAATGACATTTTTGTTTTCAAACAAAATTAAATAAAAAAGTATATAAATAAAAAATTTATTTTTAATTAGGCCAAAAATGGTTATTAGCCAATTGGCCTAACATAGGGTCAAGTTAAACAAAAAATTTTGGTTTGTTTTAAAATATAGATCAGACTAAACTATTAGATTTTTTTATTTGACCCAAGATCAGAGTCAGGTTAAGTTCGACCGTTCGTTTTGATAGTCTTACACATCTATTGCATTCATCACATTTGTTGTATTTGTAGTGGGTTAGTGAACCAATTCACCTAATCCACCAACTCATTTCAAATCAACCCGTAGTGAGTCAATAATGATTTATATTTTAGAAATCCATGTAAATTAACAATAAGCATGTGATTTGTGTAAATTAGAGATGCGTTTATATTTTAAAAAATATTTAACATGCAACTCACACCTTCTAACCAATTAAATTATTCAAGCGATGGATGAAACGCGATAAGATAAATGGTAGTAATCAAAGACATATTTAAATAAAGTTAGTTATAACTTCATTAATAAAATGAAATAACTACAACTTTAATATCAAATAATTTGAAACTTTATTTATTAGGAGAGATGAATACAAATTATTCCTCCTAAAAGCTGAAAGCAAGGGGAGATTGATGGAAATGTCCCTACATTCCCAAGAGATGATTTTGATGATGAATCAAGTCAACACCATTCAAGTCAACACCATTCAAGATGAATTAAGGACAAACTGAATTTATGAAGTTGGTGAAGATGTGAAACATTTTCCTACATGCCCAAGATATGTTTTTGATAAAGATGATGATTCAAGCAAGCCCAAGATGATTCCTGAAGACTAGATAGAGTCTTAGAATACTGTATATGGAGGTACAAGTTATGAAGTAATATTATGCATAAGTCTCCAAAGCACAAGTGTGATAAAATTCATAACATGATATTTTTCTCTGTCATAATTAATTATGATGCATCAGAAATAGAAAAATGATTTTCTCGTAATATAATCAATTATAGCAATTCAAATTTTAAAAAAATATATCCGTTTTAAAGAATAAATATTTTTGAATACATCCTGATTTTCTCTATGATATTATTAATGTCCAACTACCATTTTCTGATGCTATTTTTCTATTTAATTTATTTTTGATGAAAAATCAAAAACACACAATTACAGAATTCAAAAATACAATTTACATTCAATCAGTTTTGAGAAAAGAATTATGAGCAAGGCAACAGAGATATTTTACACCTTTTGAGAAAATCTTCTTCTCTATTGTCTTCTGTGCTTTCATTGTTAATCACATTTGTTCTTGGAGATTGACATTCTACAGGCTTCTACAATTTGTTGTCTCCATTACCTAGGTGTGTCTATTCTTATTTTTATTACCTTCATCCTTTTTGCATTGGTAGAAAAGGAGGTGTTTTTCATCCTTTGATTTGTTCAGAGGAGGTGTTCATCCCTAGTGGGATTCTAGGGAGGTGTTCATCCTTAGTGGGTTTCTAAGGAGGTGATTGTCTTTTTAATTAGTTTACTTTTTACTGGTTCTTCTGCTGAGTTGATTGTAATTTGTAAATTGAATTTGAAAGATAGTGAATTGGGAGTCACTCTTATGTTAAGAGTTGACTGGGAACTGGATGTAGGGTTGGCTATACCCGAACCAGTATAAATCATTGTGTGCTCTTCTCTTTTCCTTATCTCTTTCTCTTTTCCTAATTATATTATCGTTTCCGCTTTATCTGTGTTCAAACAAATTATTGACTCACAAATTAAAAAACATCTATTTTAATTTGTGCATCTATTCACCCCCTCTATATGTCATTTGTCCACTACAAGAAAATCGCGTATTACCGACGGATATTTACCGACGGAATTGTAGCCGTCGGAAAATAATCATTACCGACGGAAATTACCGACGGATATAAAATATTTGTGAAATTTGATGTTACCGACGGATATATCCGTCGGTAAAATAATAATTAGTTACCGACGGATATATCCGTCGATAAATCCGTCGGTAATTTATAGATGAATTTACCGACGGATATATCCGTCGGTAAATCCGTCGATAAATTAACAAGTAATTATCGACGGATATATCCGTCGGTAAATTCATATGTAAATTAAAAATTATTTACCGAATCGGATAAATCCGATCGGTAAAATTATATAATATAATTTAATTATTCACTAATTAAAAAATAAAATATTTTTTATTTAATAATTTAATTTAATCATAATTAGATTAATTTATAATAATTTATTAAATTAAGTAATTTTAAAAATAAATATTTAATTATATATAAATATATATAAATATATATATATATATATATATAAATATATAAAAATATAAAAATATATAAAAATATAAAAATATATAAATATAAAATATATAAATATATATAAATATATATAAATATAAAATATATAAATATATAAATATATAAATATATAAATATATAAATATATATATAAATATAAAAATATATATAAATATATATAAATATATAAAAATATATAATATATATATATATATATATATATATATAAATATATATAAATATATATAAATATATATAAATATATATAAATATATATAAATATATATAAATATATATAAATATATATAAATATATATAAATATATAAAAATATATAAAAATATATAAAAATATATATATAAATATATAAAAAAATATATATAAATGTATATAAATATATATAAATATATATAAATATATAAAAAAATATATATAAATATATATAAATGTATATAAATATATATAAATATATATAAATATATATAAATATATATAAATATATATAAATGTATTTGTATATTTGTATATAAATATAATTTATTTGTAAATTGTTATCAAGAAATTCTAAGTAGCTTAGTGGTTGGAGTATCGATCTCCTGGTCTAAGATCTTGGGTTCGAATCCTGCCAATGACATTTCTCTTAATCCGACAATAATTCAAAGTTATAAAAATATAATATGGAGAAATAATTGAAATAATTAATAATAAATAATAAGAATATAAGGGGGAGGGGTTCTATAAAAAATTCAAAGTTATAAAAATATAATATGGAGAAATAATTGAAATAATTAATTTACAATCACTAAAAGATTTATAATTGACCACAAAAAACTTAATAAACTATAGAATAGTTTTACCCCCCCCCCGAGGCTCCTTGTGTCTATTCTACTGCAACATAGAATGACCTGCAAAGGTAAATATATCAAAATTAGCATAACTATAATTGATGAAATAACGATAGAAAGAAGCATTAATTAAATAACAAAGAAATAATTGTAAAATAAAACAACACCTTCAAGCATTATCTTTGGAATGAGCTGCAACTTCATGATTAGACAAGTATGTTCTTAAGTTTGAAAAATCAATGTCATCGATATCTAAATCTAAGAATTTCACGCGTGGCCAGTCCTCTTCTATTTCCTTACAAGGAGGAGTAACTTGGTTTGGTGTTGAAATCTCCAAACTTTTAAATACATTAGAGGTATTGAAGTTCACTTCCCTGTTACTGGTTTTGTCCGTATCACCCTCCATAGGAGAAATAGGAAGGCTCTCTTTATCAATCTATGGATTTTCAGGTTCAACCATAACTTTAGCTCTCTTGGTTGAAGTCTCACCCTCGCAATGGGTAACGAACTTTCCATTGCATGTTGCAACAAGAGAAATATCAGAAATTGGGGATACATCTAGATATCCATGAAAGGAATGAGTTTCGGGTGAAGGTAAAACAGATGGTCCTGTAAATTTGCAGTTTTGAACGGATGATTGAATCGTTGCGGAAGAAGGATTAATAACTACTTTGTTATTATACCTTGCACTTTATTTTTCTTTCCAGAAGGTCTACCATGAGGTCTTTTTGCAATAAGAGGCTTCTGTATTGCTTGAGTAGCTACTCGTATTCTTAAACACACCTAGAAAAAAATGGAAAATAATAACTCATCGAAACATTCATGATTGCTATAATCTAAACTAGGTATAATGTGCAACAATGATCAATATATTTCAATTCATGATGAACCATACAAAAATATTGTACCTGAAGTGATTTTATTACAAACCCTGAAGGGAGGAACAACAGCAGAGGTTCCGTTCATTACCACATCATTCGACACGGTTGGTCGAGGAGAGACATTGTAAGTGTTGAGAACATTTTCCATGTCCTGCCAAAATTTCTGAAGGGTCACCTCAAGCCTCACTTGATCCAATAATAAATGTTGTGTCTTCAAAGATACATAAGCATCCTGCATTTTTTCTCCAAATTTACCATATTCTTGGATATCTAGAAGACAATAATTGAGGAATTGAATAAATGTGCTGAGAAAGAACGACAAAAGTAGTTGTTGAGTGTTAAAAGGATGAAAAAGAAAACCTGGTTGACTGACGAATTGGCAAAGAGGGAGGAAGCCTCCATTCGGAAGGTGGCACGCATGAGGGAGAAATTATTGGCGAAGAGATAATGATCGATTATGGATGCAACTTGAGACGGAAAAATATTAAACCTTTCAAATGACTCTGAAGCCATAGTTTTTGGTTTCATATTCGATCGGAGGTGGAAACTTTGCAAGATTGATGGTGGAGGAGTGTGATGACTGAGAAGACTGCAAACTAAGAAGTGTGAAACAAAATGTGGGGACAATTTCGTTATTTAAAGAAGGAGGGAAGCGGGTGGGTCAATGAATTTCATTTGAATTTTATTTTTATTTTCGCTTTTTCGATTTTAAATAATTTCTTTTTTTACATTATCTCTTTTCTTTATACTTTTGTTGCCCCCTTTCTCTTTATAATGTTTTTTTCCTGTGTTAAATTTTTAATTTAATTCTTCACACGTATGTTTCTATTAGATAATTTTTTATTTATGCGTTTAATTTTGTAAATTTAATTCTTAATCATTTTTTTCTTTATCTTTTATTTTATCTTATTATTATCTTTTATTTTTATCTTTATCTTTTATATTATTATTTTGTATCTTTATATTTTATTTATTATTTATTATCTTTATATTTTATTTTTTATCTTTGTATTTTATTTGTCAAAGATAAATTTTATAAATTTATTATTTTTTATCTTTATATTTTATTTGTCAATCATAACATGCAAAATAATTATCTAAATGATAACATGAACCATTAAAAGAATTATCTAAATTTTATAATTTTTTTTATTTTTTATTTTTATCTTTTATTTGTGAAATGATAATATGGACAATAATTATCTAAATGATAACACAAACAATAAAATTATAATTTTTTAAATTTATTATTTTTTTATCTTTATATTTTATTTATCAATGACAACATGGACAATAATTATCTAAATTTAAAATAACAAAGAGAGTTGAAATTAATGAAATGTATGTCTTTAACTTAATTTTCATCCTAATTAGTAATGACAAAATGAATCAATTCACTCCTATTTGGTCGATCCCGCCTTTAACGTATAAAAAACGTGACAAGATGAGTTAGTTCATCATAGTCAAGACATGTTACGGACCTCAGTTTATCTTGTCAAATGATGAGTTAATGAGCTAATGGGCCAAACCGCCAATTTTTTTATGTATTTTTTTAAAATACACCTTTAATTATATGAATAGTTTTTAAGTTTTATTTATTAATTAATATTTTTATTAGATAAATTAAAAAATAATAATATTTATGTATTAAAATACCTAATTATAATTAATAATTTAAGGTTTATTGGTTAATATTTATAATTTAAATTATAATATTATAATATATTTGGATATTTTAATAATATAACATAAAAATATAATATTTTTAATTATAATTATTATTCTTTTAATTTTAATATATAAATTTTTCAAAAGCATAGCAACATGTTAGCTCTCCTACCCCATCTCTCACCTACCGGATTAGCGGGTTAAACGAATTGCCAAAAATAGGTTGATGGGCTAAAATTGTAACCATGTCAAATGTTAAATAAAAGTCTTGTGTAAAAATACAAAGAACCCATTATACTCTCAAGTTTAGTTGTTTGGTCGTTGATATTTCATAATCTCCCTATCTATGTACTTAACAGGTGGTGGGATAGACACTCCGTCTTGCCAACAATCTTCACTAGATGTTATTATCGAAAATAAAACGTCTCTAATTGATTAGTTAATTAGGTGGAAAACTTCAATCTCTAGTCTAAGCTATGGATCAGAATGAGAAAACAAAATCTATGTCAATGAGATATTAGGAAGAATCAAATGGAAGTCCATCCACAATGATACTTTGATAAACATAATATAAACCATTAAAGCAAGTAAGAGTTACAATGATAGTACATGTGGTTGAGATGTTATTATATAATTGGGACCTTACTTTCTAGGATAAATTATATGAATAGTGATATAATAATTATATTTTATGAGATTTATTATAATTAATATTATATACAGATATAGTTGAAGATAACCAAATTGTTAGGTTTATCAATTTGTGTGTCATCTTCAACAACATGCTTATCGTGAGATAGTCTTAGGGTGCATGTTTAATTGTTAAAATAAGTGATGGAGAGATATAAGAGTACAATATAAGTATATTATATACAATAGAGTATATATCGTGATATAAAGAGATGAGTTTGAGCTCATATATTTAATTATTTCTAATATTCCCTCGAGTTAGTATTTATAATCATATATATTAAGTTTGTTATAAATATAATTAATTTTAACACCTGAAAATGATTTGATTAAAACATAGATGTAGGACACTTTGACATCCAATTATGTAACATTCCTAAATCTCAACTTTTTGAATAATTGTTTGAGCAAAATAAGTGATTGGTAAAGGTCATAACTTTGTACCTTGTTTATGTACTAGATATTGTCATTATATTTTGCTTTTAATTTTTCCAAAAGATCAAATTGTCATCAATGAAGACACAATAATGCATACTTTATTTGAGGAATAACAATTTTATTGTTAGATTGTGTTTCCTTAATCCCCGATAAATATCTTTGTTAAGGTCTTTTATTTGAAATGATGACATATATGTTGCTTTATTTTAAGATGTCATGATGATTATTATAGGTAAGAACAATATCATTAACATACACTATTGAGTATATATACTTATTATTTGTGTTACAATAAAATATTAAATGATTTGTTTCATCGAGATGAGTCATGTCAAAGCATTGAATCACTACATTGAATCTACCAAACCATGTCCTCAAACACTACTTTGAGAGCATATAAAGTTTTGTAGAGACGACATACTCTTCCTAGAGATTTCCCTTAAGCAACAAAATCAAGAGATCACTACAAGAAAATCGCAGTATTATCGATCGGATATTTACCGATCGAATTGTAGCCGTCGGAAAATAATCATTACCGACTGAAATTACCGACGGATATAAAATATTTGTGAAATTTGATGTTACCGACGGATATATCCGTCTGTAATTTATAGATGAATTTACCGACGGATATATCCGTTCGGTAAATCCGTCGATAAATTAACAAGTAATTATCGACGGATATATCCGTCTGAAAAAATTATATAATATAATTTAATTATTCACTAATTAAAAAATAAAATATTTTTTATTTAATAATTTAATTTAATCATAATTAGATTAATTTATAATAATTTATTAAATTAAGTAATTTTAAAAATAAATATTTAATTATATATAAATATATATAAATATATATATATATATATAAATATATAAAAATATAAAAATATAAAAATATATAAATATAAAATATAAAAATATATAAATATATATAAATATAAAATATAAAATATATAAATATATAAATATATAAATATATAAATATATATATAAATATAAAAATATATATAAATATATATAAATATATATAAATATATAAAAATATATATAAATATATATAAATATATAAAAATATATATAAATGTATATAAATATATATAAATATATATAAATGTATATAAATATATATAAATGTATATAAATATATATAAATATATATAAATATATATAAATATATAAAAATATATAAAAATATATAAAAATATATAAAAATATATAAATATATATAAATATATAAAAATATATATAAATATATATATAAATATATATAAATATATATATAAATGTATATAAATATATATAAATATATATATAAATATATATAAATATATAAAAATATATAAAAAATATATATAAATATATATAAATGTATATAAATATATATAAATATATATAAATATATATAAATGTATTTGTATATTTGTATATAAATATAATTTATTTGTAAATTGTTATCAAGAAATTCTAGTAAGCTTAGTGGTTGGAGTATCAGCCTCTGACTCTAAGGTACTCGGTTCAATCCTCGCTAATGACATTTCTCTTAATCTAACAATGATTCAAAGTTATAAAAATATAATATGGAGAAATAATTAATAATAAATAATAAGAATATAAGATAAAAAAAATAATGTTATAAATAAGTAAAATATTTAATAATTAATAAAATTATTACCGACGGATTTTGACCGGTCGGTCATTTTAATATTTATTGTAGTGTTGTTTTAGGTAAATTTCCTCCAACCATGAAGGAGGGTATTTTTGAAATTCAATCCATAAAGGAGCCAACGGCAAAAGGCAGAATAAACAAACAAAAGAAGAAAAATAACAACTAGATGTAGAAAACAAGAACTCAACAAAATGATGATATACTGAATGACTTTCAAACACACTACCTTAACCTAATCGAAAATAGATGAAAATAATAAAATAGATAGTAAGATATGTCATCACATGTGACGACGACCAATGCGAGAGGAAAGAAAGAGTACATGAAGATATTTCACTCATAAAGATGCATTGAGGTTTTGATGGACATAATTTTAGTAATGTTGAAGTTGTTTAGTCAATCACAACTTTAATAATATGATCATTAATCTAAAAGATTACTATTACAATAAAAAAAATAACGATAAAGAAAATAATATTATGATAAAAAAGAAAACTAAAAATCAAAATAAAATATGATTTTTAAAAAATTTTATCATCGATAAATATCGGGTCTAAAAATCACAAATATATTTATATTTATTATAAAAAAAATTATATATATATATATATATATATATATATATATATTATATATATATATAAATAACGTTAAGGTAAAGTATTATATATTTTTAATTCATAAAATTATCAAATTAAGATAAATTGTTATAATATTATGTTAAATTTATTGAAAAGAAAACGTTTATATTTATGTTTTCAATATAATAGAAACACGAAGACACGGTTAAATAATATTATATTTATGTATAAAGTTGGAGTAAATGGTATGCTTTGATTTTATTTCATCTATAAATAAGATTTTGACGGAATTAAAAGAAAAAAAGGACTATATACTTAAATTCATACATTAAATAAAAAGAAAAAAAAAACTATATACTTAAAATTTAAATACAAGAAAATTCCTCTAGTCCAAGTTAGTAGTTAAAAGAAAAATAAAAAGAAGAAAAAATAAAGAAACAAACTAGGATCTCGCATTATCCTTCGTGGGTGATAGAAAAAGACATGAGAGGGGTGTTTCTCCCATGGAATCCACTGCGCTTCCACACTCTCACTCTCCCTTCCCTTCCAAACAGAACCTTAATCCTCTCAGCTTCCGTGGATTCCCCCTCTCAGGTGAGCGCGCGAGAGAGGAGGCGCGAGAGGAGCGAGAGAAGAGAGAGAAAGAGCGGCGCGAACTGGAGGGAGGAGGTGGAGATGAGACTCATCGAGAAACCGAAGAAGAAAGGTTCGTGGATGGATGAACTGAACCTGGACAACCTCGCCAAGTTGGGTCCCCAATGGTGGGTCGTCCGTGTCTCAAGGATTAAGGGTCACGACATTGCGCAACTCCTCGCTCGCTCCCTCGCTATAAACTACCCCGACCTCGAGTTTAAGGTAAGGTTGTTGTTGTGTTTTCGTCTTCTGCTATGGAAATCATGTTCTGTATTCTCTTGGATTTGGTGACTGTTGTTTATATAGATAAGTTTAGGTTGCTTTGTCTCAATTTTTAGTTTAACAAAATATGTTTTTATTTATTTTTTATTTTTGCATAACCATGTCTTTGGTAATGATTATCCATTGGCCTTGCCTACTCTGTCCGAAAATATCAATCTTACCAATTTTAATGGAGTATTCCCTCTTAATAATTTTTTTTTTTGCACCGACAAACCAAAACTTTGAGAAGACAAAGTCTAATGCCACTAGAACCATTTGACTTGTTGGTAAGCAAAATATGTTTAAAGAATTTACTATAATTACAACATATATATATATATATATATATATATATATATATATATATAAAGTAAAAATCTTGAAAAGAATGTTTTAGTACTTAAGGGTTTAAGTGTATATTTAATGAACTGTAAAGCTAATCCATGAGTTGGATTAGGAAGTTTATTTTGAGAATTTAATTTATATGCGTTGTTTCACTGTGTTAATCAATGGGAAATTATAGTAGGTTTGATTTTTGAAGTACTAACTGTAAATTTGCTAATCTTACTATACATATACACTATTAATATATGGACCGTTGACCATTTACTCTTATTTCAATAAGATTCTCTATGAAAATTGTTGACCCAAGCTAAGAAGAGTTGACAAGAAGGTTTTAAGTTGCATACATTAGTTCACATAAGTTTTCAAACACTCGCACGATGCTTTCCAATAAGCTTGTACATAAGTTTTTGTTGAAATGTTTGACTAATTTAGTTTCTCAAACATGTTCCAAAAGTGAAAAATAAAGACAAAACTTAGGTTAAGTGTTTCCAGTGCGCTCTCTAATTTTGAATTGGAAATCCACTTCAGTAGCATATATGTGTTGATATTGAATTTGAACCTTTATTACAGAAACTACTAAGATGAAAATCTCATTCTGATTAGAGAACAACACAAAAAGCTTAAAGAATTGTGTTTATGTTTTGCCAAAAATAATAGTTGCTTTAAAAATTTCTAAACATGCTGCATTTCAGATTTTAGCTTGAACAAGCGGTGCTTAGTCTGGAGTTAGTTTTCATGAAAAGTGCTAGTAGTCTCTTTTGTTTATTTGAATGAGTTTTATAAAGTGCCCAATGAACATGTTAGTGATGTTTCAGATAAGGTTATTTTATTTATGTGGTAGTGTATGGTTTTAGATGTATGTTCCATCCGTCAATGAGAAAAAGAGATTGAAGAATGGTTCGTACTCCAATAAACCAAAGCAACTGTTCCCTGGATGTGTTTTCTTGAGATGTGTGATGAAAAAAGAACTACATGACTTCATAAGAGAGTATGATGGTGTTGGAGGCTTTCTTAGTTCCAAGGTTGGAAACACGTAAGCATCTGCTGCTTTGGCCTTCTGTCATTTAGAATTTTGTTGTAAATCATTTTATGCAGAGTTGGGTTCTTATGCAAGGCAAGATGCAAAAGGTGATTGAGAAGTGGAATATATTTCTTCAATTCATTAGTTATGATGGAATATATGTCTACAATCTTGAAAACAATTCCAGACAAGCAACCATCTGAATGAAATTTCTATCTTGTTTCCGTTCCTTTACTAATCAATGGTTGAAGTATAGTTTTTCAAAGTCACACTCAACTGAATGGAAAGTTGAAACATGCAGAATCTGTGCATAAGTTTCTCCATAAAAACATGTAGGAAAAAAAGAAGAAGAAAAAATGGAATGTCTCCATTAGAATGTATAAGAGATGAGAATATGAAAGCAAAATGACATATTTTTCTCTAATAAGTTAAAATTAGATTGAGAAATCTTACGACTAAAAATATGATACCATTATAGTATATAGATGAGTACAATCCTCACCTTACTAGGCCATTTTGTATGATTAAATTATAATCTCTTAATTTCTAAAATTATGCAAAGTTAAAATAAGTTTTTTAATAAGCTAAATGATTTTTACTTCTCCAGCAAGCTTATTTTACTTATGCATTTGTGAATCTAATAAATAAAAAAAAAAACTTATGCATAAACTAATTTTAGTTTATGGGTGAAACTGATTTCATTTTTTTTTTATGCGTTCATGAATAAACTTTTCCAAAGAAGGCTATATTGCCTTTGATAAGTGACGTCTATTCCTAATTAATTATGATGAATTGAGTTGCTAACATTTTCTAAGATTACAAATAGGTGGTGTCTTTTAAGTTTGCACATACTTTTTATGTTTTAATTAATGATTTCGGACGTTGAAAATATTTAATGTCTCTATTGCATATTTTTTTCTCTGTTCCTGTTTAGCATGATTGATAACTCCTGATTATTTTCACATTTGCAGAAAGAGACAGATCAATAGACCGAAGCCATTATCTGATGACGATGTTGATGCAATCTTCAGACAAGCAAAAGAAGAGCAAGAGAAAACTGACCAAGCTTTTGAGGAAGAAGAGATGAAAGCTGCCCTAAATTCTGGGATTCCTAACACAGAATTAGAACCCGATGATGTTTTGAATGCTATTGTTGACAATAAATCTAAAAGGAGACCTAGGAAAACTTCTGACCAGGTCAAAGTCACAGATGCTTCTTCTATTCGAAACAAATATAAACACTTTGTTCCTGGTTCCACTGTTCGTGTTGTATCTGGAACCTTTTCAGGGTTTACAGGCACCCTCAAAAAGCTGAATCGAAAAACTAAAATGGTAAGCTTCTTCCTTAACAAGCATAAATTAACATAACTATATCTGTTCAAGACACACATGTTAGTTTATGTGATTAAAATATCTGGAATGCTGATATGAAATTACAAAAAAATTTCGCACTTGATGTAGACTTAATTAGCCTTCTTCATGCAGGTCACTGTGCATTTCACTCTCTTTGGGAAAGAGAACATAGCAGACATAGATGTTAATGAAATTGCACTAGAGACAAACTGAGGCCTTTAGGGTTTTCTCCCCAGATGGTGTGCTTCACACGTTCTGCAGTAATCATAATACATTTTTGAGTTGCACATTGAGTTGCTTTGGCCTTTTCCATTTGTGGATGAAGCTGGATTTTTTTTATGGAAAAATAAATGCATCTTATATCCGACCTAGTGCTTTCTTGTGTATTATGAGTCATGTAATGGAGAAGTGAAGGAATTTACTGTTAGCAAGCTTGGCAGGACACAGGTGGAAGCTTTTTTTCTGGTGCTTCATTCCCAAAATTGAAATCTGAGATGTCTATGTTACATATGAAGGCCCACTTAATATTGAAGAAAATGAGGATAGCAGGCCCAAAAGACAAATCCACAAATCTAAAGGGATTCCAGGATTTATTTATTATTAGTAAATGTTTATTTGTATGTGTTAGCATATTCTAGAAGAAAATCAGTTATGTTGAATTGTTTGTAGTGAGGTCGTGGACCATGCATTTTGACTGTTAGAATCTCTTCTGTTATATATCTGTTGGTACGTAATGAAGAAGGCAGAGAATTTTTACCCTCAAATCTCTTCTTGTTATTTTCTTTAGGAGGTTGCCTGTCCTCTAACTCAGTGCAACCTTTCCTTCCTTAATACTGGTGCTTTCATTGCAACTCATTCATGGCTGACGGGACCCACTCCAAAACCCAATCTGAGAAATTGGATGAAATGCTCCATCAACTCTCCCTTTTTCAAGACTCTGTTAATACTCAATTTCAGAACGTGGGTCATCGCCTTTCCGTCCTCGAACAACACAGCTCCTCCCCTCCTCCCTCTCCTCCCCCATTTCACACTCCCGACTCCTCTTCTTCCCAATGCCACTTCCTCAAGCTCGATGTTCCCCGCTTCGACGGCACCGATGCTCTAGGTTGGATTTTCAAAATTACCCAATTCTTTGACTATCACAACACACCGGAGGAAGAACGTATCACAGTTGCTTCATTCTATTTGGACGGTCCGGCTCTTGCGTGGTTTCAATGGATGTATCGTAATAGTCAAATCCAATCTTGGAATCAACTATTACAAGCCCTGGAGAATCGATTTGCCCCTACAGCGTTTGATGATCCTCGTGGTAAGCTTTTCAAACTTACTCAATCTGCTTCTGTTACTTCTTACTTGACTGAGTTTGAGTCTCTGGCAAATCGTATTGTGGGCTTGCAACCCTCCTCCCTTTTGAGTTGTTTCATCTCCGGCTTGAAACCGGAGCTCCGCTGTGACGTCATTGCACATCAACCCAGTTCATTGTCCCAAGCGGTTGGTTATGCAAGGTTGCATGAGGAGAAGCTTCTTGACAGCTCCCGCACCCATCGGACCTCCCAACCCCTTCGGTGGTTAGCTCCGTCAGTCTCACGAACATTCTCTCCTCCTTCTCCGTCACCATCGCCAAAACCTCTACCCCCTCTGTTACCCACTCCTCCACCAAAGCCACGTTTCAAGCAATTGACAGAAGCAGAGATGGTGGAAAAACGGGAAAAGGGGTTATGCTTCAATTGTGACCAAAAGTTTTCACGTAATCATCGATGTCCAGCTCGTTATTTTCTTTTGATCGCTGATAAGGATGAATCCTCACCTTCGGATGGTGACAGGGACTGGGATTTGGGTGCCAGATCGGATCCACCGAATGTTGAGAAATTGTTGAATTTGTCACCCGATTCAGCTCAATTAAGCCTCAATGCTCTCACGGGTACCGGCAATCCTGAGACTCTTCGTATTTTGGGCTGGTTGGCCCAATACCAAGTGCGTATACTTGTTGATGGGGGAAGTACTCACAATTTCATCCAACTTAAGGTTGCTCTACTTTTGGAATTGCCTCGTCATTCCACGACTCCTCTGCAGGTTCTTGTAGGTAGCGGAGAGAAATTAACATGTGATCAATTTTGTCCTGGGGCAGCTTTAAAAATTCAGGGCCAAGAGTTCATTGTTGACTTGTATATCCTTGACATGGGTGGTGGATCTGATATTGTGCTTGGGGCCCAATGGCTAAAAGATTTAGGCCCAGTTTTGATGGACTACCAGAACCTCACTATGAAATTCTATTATCACCAACAATTGATTGAGTTGAAAGGGAATTCAGGACAACAACCCTCCTCTATTTCTTTCCACCAACTTAAACGCCTTCTTTGATCTGATCATGAGGCCCAATTCTTCTCCCTACAGGTTTCATCTTCTCCTCCTGACCCCTCCATTCCTCCTTCCCTCTATCACCCAAATGATAGTATTTATCAACTACTTAAATCTTACTCCTTCCTCTTCGACGAACCAACAAGTTTACCACCTCCACGAGCCACAGATCACCACATTCCTCTCACCTCCAGTGCCAACCCAGTTAACGTCCGTCCTTACCGCTACCCTCACGCGCATAAACTGGAAATTGAAAAACATATTTTGAAGATGTTGGATTCGGGCTGGATCTCCCCTAGTACAAGCCCTTTTTCATCACCGGTTCTTTTACTACGCAAGAAAGATGGATCTTGGCACATGTGTGTTGATTATAGGGCATTGAACGCACTCACAATCAAGGACCGCTTCCCTCTTCCAACAATCGATGAATTACTTGATGAATTGAGGCTTGCTCGCTGTTTTTCTAAGTTGGACTTGACATCTGGCTTTCATCAAATCAGGCTGCATCCTTCCGATGTCCATAAGACCGCATTTCGCACTCACGATGGCCATTATGAATACCGTGTCATGCCCTTCGGTCTCTGTAATGCCCCAGCAACCTTCCAAGCCACCATGAATGACATCTTCCGGCCACTCCTCCGCAAGACTGTCATTGTCTTCTTCGATGATATTCTCGTTTATAGTTCCACACTTGAGCAACATGTTATTCACCTCCGTCAGGTGTTTGATATTTTGCACAATAACCAGTTCTACCTGAAACTCACCAAGTGCTCTTTTGCTCAGTCTCAGGTTGATTATTTGGGTCATGTAGTTGCTGATGGTTTTGTGTCCCCTGACCAGGCCAAAATTCAAGCTATGCTGGATTAGCAAACCCCCACTTCTCTCAAGAGCTTGCGTGGTTTCCTAGGATTGACAGGCTTTTATCGCAGATTTGTTAAAGGCTATGCTACAATTGCCCATCCGCTCACTGCTCTGTTGAAAAAGGAGGCGTTTCAGTGGTCTCTAGAGGCTCAGAGGGCCTTTGATTATCTCAAAATATCTATGACGAAGGCTTTTGTTCTTGCTTTGCCCAATTTCTCTAAGCCCTTCCTCATTCAGACTGATGCATCGAGTATAGCAATGGGTGCGGTTCTGGTCCAAGACTCTCACCCCATTGCCTACTTTAGCAAGGTCTTTTGTCCGCGTATGACCAAGGCATCGGCCTATATTCGGGAACTTCATGCTGTAACCAGTGCAGTGAAACGTTGGCGCCAATACCTATTGGGTTCCTCCTTTATAATTCAAACAGATCAGAAAAGCCTAAAGGAACTCCTCACTCAAGTCATCCAGACCCCAGAGCAGCAGTATTACTTGGCCAAGCTCCTTGGCTATGACTATGAGATTCAGTACAAACCCGGGAAACTGAACGTGGTTGCCGACGCTCTTTCCCGATCCACTGGACCAGTAGCTGGCGAATTACAGGTACTCACTGTGCCTCAATTTGTCTTCTTAGATGACTTGAAACAATCCTTGTTACAGGACACATAATTCCTCTCCCTACGGCAGCGGTGTATCGCTGACCCCGCTTCAATGCCTCATTTCAAAGTGTTGGAGGGTCTTATTCTATTCAAGGGCAAGATATGGTTGAGTTCCTCTTCTAAATTCATCACTCTGCTTTTGCAAGAATTCCACGAATCTACCGTTGGGGGACACGCGGGTATGAACAAGACCCTTAAACGTCTCTCTGCCAACTTTTACTGGACCAATATGGCAAAGGATGTTCGCTCTTTTATCTCTCAGTGTAGAATCTGCCAGCAAACAAAATACAGTACCAAACGCCCCGGAGGTCTCCTCGTTCCCCTTCCTATTCCATCACATGTGTGGGAGGACATTACTATGGATTTTATTACTGGGTTACCTCTCTCTCATGGTTACACCGTTATCTTTGTGGTAGTGGATCGGTTCTCTAAAGGGGTTCATTTGGGTGCTCTGCCTCCCACTTTCACAGCTTATAAGGTGGCTGAGCTCTTTGTTTCTATGTTCTGTAAGCATCATGGGTTGCCCAAGAGCATTGTTTCAGATCGAGATCCAATTTTTATGAGTCGATTCTGGTCAGACTTGTTCAAGTTCAGTGGTACCCTTCTCTGCATGAGTTCATCATACCACCCTCAGACCGATGGTCAAACAGAGGTTATGAATCGCACAATTGAACAATACCTCCGAGCCTTTGTTCATGAGACACCACAACATTGGTTCAAATTCCTTCCTTGGGCTGAGTTCCATTATAACACCTCTGTTCATTCTGGTTCAGAGCTCCCTCCATTCCAAATCATATTCGGCAAGCCACCTCCTTCCATTCCTGAGTATTTGGCTGGCACCTCTCAAGTGGCTGGTTGTGATTCATTACTCTCCTCACGTGAAGAAGTTCTCTCACTCCTGCGGCATAATTTGTTGAAAGCCCAAAAACGGATGAAAAGGAATGCAGACTTGAAGCGCAGAGAACTCAGTTTCGAGGTGGGATCCTGGGTTTATGTTAAGCTCCAACCCTATCGTCAATCATCTCTTTCGGGTGCCAAGTTTCATAAACTGTCCAAACGTTTTTATGGGCCTTATCGCATAATAGAAAAAATCGGACCAGTTGCCTACAAAATTGACTTACCAGCCACTTCCAAGATCCACAATGTTTTCCATAGTTCAGTTTTGAAGGCTCATGTGGGTATTCCCCCTAGCACCATTGACTCTCTTCCCCCAGACTCTCATGCCAATCATCCCTTGGTAACCCCACTAACTGTTCTGGGTTTCAAGACTGCTATGGTCAATGGAGTCCCAACACGCATGGCCTTGGTCCAGTGGCAAGGTCTTTCTCCCGACGATAC